GTGCAAAGGGATGCCCGCAATATTAGGTCGTTTCGAGCTTCAATAGAGGCTTTTGGGTAAGTGGTTATGGACTTCTAAAATAGATTTCAGGATTGAAAATTCGAATTGCTGGATATTTAATTCTGGTTTTCCTGGAAAATACAGAGAATATTTCTTCTGGAATATTTTTGTTCTGTCTAGATAATCTCATTTTTCAACAGATGACATAAATATTTAAATGCTTGCTGATTCATTTTGTATAAGAATATTATACTGAAATAAATAACTTAGAAAATCAAACTAGAAAAGACAACCAATACTAACCAAAATAAGATTGTAAATCTACTAAGTGATTTTTTTGAGATAAGTAAAAATCCTAAGTGATAGAAATTAGATGATACCTAAACAACAAATTCTGCATATCCAGCAACAAGCTACCAAAATAACCCTAAATCCTAATTTAACCTAAACACTTTCTTTATGCTTCTGAATCGACAATATATATAGGTGTATGTATTGGGGCGTGCGTGTTTATGGGATGTATTTTACAAAAAGAGTCTCTAAAAACCTTTTTTCCTTACCCTATTTTTCATCAGTATTCAGTAACTGGAAACATGGTCTATAACAAAGCCATTATGGACTACATAGTTTATAGTTTCCCCTGAGCAGAAGTTGCCTTTTTCTAGTAAATGGAAACTGCCATGGTCTCTTCAAGTAAATTATTATGGACCTTTTGTTCTTATCGCACAAGGGAAACAAATTGAAGTCTAAAATTATGTAACTTGAGTCTGTGAAGGAATTTTGTTTTCACTTGAGCAATCCAGATAATTTTGCCATCTTAAGATATTCTTATACTAATTGCAATCATGTATGTGCAGTGTTTCTTTGACACCCCTGGGATTACACTTAAGAACAATGGATACCCTTACAAAGATATGAAGGCTCGTGTGGAAAATGTCCGGAGTTCAGTTGAGCTATATGATGTGCTCATGGTCATTTTTGATGTGCATAGACATCTAACAAAGTAAGTAACTTTTTGTGTTTACAATATCAAAGTTCATTGTAGTGTGCATTGATCAACTCCCAGGTAAAATTTTCTGACCAAGTTTCTTTCTTTTATGATTTGGGTTGAAAGTCCTGGAACCCTCATAAGGAAAATATTTGCTATGAAGAGAGAGTTTGATATAGGAGAAAGAGAGTTGAAGACAAAACTTGGAAAAAATTTGGTAAAAACTAAATTTATGGATCTCATATCTCAATAATGAAAGCAATGTTTTAATATTTGAATGATAATCATAATGATTTATTGAATAACGAAGGTAAGGTACCTTATTTTTAGGTACCAAAATACAATCAAAATGTGATTTTTATGTCTATTTAAGAATTCCATGAAATAAGAAAATAAGCTAAGTAGAATAACCTACAGTAGCAAAGAGGTAAATAAAATCCAAAGTAATAAACTTATTCTATATAGATACTAATTTCTGAATAATCTAAGTATCTTATCAATGCATAAACGTTATAATTACATAAGTGTATCTTATTTTAGAAATATGTCTAATTTAGGACCTTCCTTTTCAGCATCATTCTACCCGAATCGGAAAAGCCTCAGCTTTAAAATGTTGAAATCGAAAAAATATCAAATTTGGGACTTGTCTTCTTAATAATTGAAGTTTTCGAAACTTGAGATTTTCGTTAGAAGACATGAATACTTCTAAAATCTAAAGGGTTCTGAAGACCTAATAAACCAACTAGGAATATGAGATTCATAAAAAGAATAATAGTCAAACTTTTCTCATTGCTGTCAGGAGCCAAATAAATTTTTGAAATAGTGTTTTTAGGTGAGGCCTCTTAAGAGGCTTTAAAATCAACGAGAATTTACAGTTTTTAACCTTGACAATATCACCATATGCAACTAAATTGAGAGAGATGATTCATTGTATAATAGAACTTGCATCATCTTTCACAATCTCTTTGGTTGTCTTACCTATTAACTTACTATTATTAGTTGGGTGGTCAATAGTGATCTCTTCAATTACCTCATTTATTAATTTGTTCTCACATGTTTGATCATTAATGATTGTGAGATCATCTTGCGCTGTAGAAATAGGTAAGTTGTGGCACCTGGTGCTTTCTCATGGTAGAAAGCTTCTAAAACAAGTCTTTTTCAAGGAGATCACCCAACGGGTATCTGAGTTTTTTTCAATTAGTTAGTTTCCAGGAAATCAATTTGAGCACAAAGTATTTATCCTTTTCAAGGAATGAGTTCAATGCATGGATTTCTATCTCTGGAGTGAGTTCAATCTGCCTCCAGTTCAGAGATTCTCTTGTTTCTCTTATGATACAATTTTCATGCCTCTCATTTCTCATTTTTATTTTCATGAGCTTTTGTCTTATAATGGCTTGACTATTGCTTAGAGTTTCCAGCTTCTCTTCAAGATTCTTGGGGCTCAGGTTTTAGTTTGCCTAAAACTTACGGTTTTTTTTTAATGTAACTTTTTCGAAAAGAAATGATATTGATAACAAAGGTAGTAACTTGTTTGCTTCTTCTGAACACATTATGATGTAGAAGTGTTCTATGTGCTTCATGACTTACTGACTTAGATGTGGTCCAACTGCATGTTATTGAGAATATCTACAGTAAGGCATCTTCTGTGCCTCTATATTAAGTTAGTAGTGGTGATAGGATTGTTCAATGAAAGATAATTTTTCAACAAGAGCCAAAAAAAGAACTATATAGCTTGGAAACTCTTCTTTACCCAAGGACTTGGTTATGATGTACTCAAAGTTATATCCTCTATGTTCATGAGTAAAAAAGCAGGCATGTATTGCTTCAGGGGCATTTGCTGAAAATCCTGCAAGTACATTTTATTTGGCATGTTAATCAGGTGCCTTTTTGCGCACTTGGATACCCTATTCCTTCATTCATATTAATACTTGGCTCAAAAGATTTTGAGTACAATGGAATCTATTATATCACCTGTAGGCCATTTTTCTCTGTGAATTTATATGAGATACAATCTTGTTTCTTAATTTCCTTAGGTGCTTAATAATCCCTGTCATTTCCCTGCTTCATATATATTTTTAATTTATTCAGGCCTGATTCGAGGGTGGTAAGGCTGATTGAACGAATGGGTGCACAAGCACACCCAAAACAGAAGCGGCTATTATGTATGAACAAGATTGATTTAATTCCAAAAAAGAAAGACTTGTTAAAGGTTGCTGAGCAGTTCAAAGATCTTTCTGGATATGAAAGGTAGAGGACTGATATTACTTCTTTTCAGATGGAATATATTATCCATGATAGATTCTGAATGCCCTTGGTGCCTTTTTCTTAGATTTAAAAGAAAAATCTACAATCGCTTCTGAAGGCCTGGTCTCATTCTTTTGTAGGGTTTTCATGATCTCGGGAATGAAAGGCTCTGGAGTGAAGGATCTGACTCAATATTTGATGGAGCAGGCATGTATCTAGTTGAAAATGGCTTATACTTGGAATTGGACTTGACACTGTTCCATTTTGGAGTGATCACTAGATGTTTTGCTTTAGGGTATCTTTCCATTCAAACTCAAGTAGATTGCTGCAGTGACAAGTAGAAGAAGTATGGAGTTATGTTCCTTGTACAAAGTTTTCTTATTAAAGATGCGACCTTCATCAAATAATTTTGTTAATTAATCCACATCTGCACGCACATAATGCTCACTAAGTAATAATAAGTTGTTTATTCTGCAGAATTTTGGGGTTTCCTGCTTGGCAGAGTTGTCAAGCCCCTGTTTAGAGGGAGGGAGAGGGTTTAACTTTCATTTGGTGAACCATCACATCCAAATGCAAGTTTTCTTGCTAAAATTATTATTATCAGTTGTAGATTTTCAAAAGGTTTTTGTCTATTGAACCCCATTTTCCGTCTGTTGCTAGGGTAAACCCTGGCTCAAAAATTTACTTTCTTTTGGGAGGCAGCTCAAAATTAACTTAATATGCTTTAGCTTATGTAAGACATTTTTTAGTGAGAAATGTCAGTTACATTTTATGTCCACATTTTTCTCCATTGTTTTGTTTTAGTATCCATCTTTTTCCCACTGAATTTTCATTTTAAACAAATTTCTAGAACATCAGTTTTGGGTTTCATCCCTGTATAGATTACATGCCTTTTTTTGGTTCCTTTTTCCTGAAATAAAGAATATTTTTCCTTGAAATGAAGAGACGTATATTGACCAGCTCTTTTCAATGCCTGAATTTGGCACATGCTCCATGAGACAATGAATTGCTTTGAAATTGTAATTCTATGATAACACTTGACTGTTCTTTTATATATATCTAACCCTGGTGTTTAAATGCATTCTCATACATAGGCAGTTAAAAGACCTTGGGATGAAGATCCTGTAAACATTAGCGAAGAAGTAATGAAAAATATTGCTTTAGAAGTTGTTCGAGAAAGATTACTAGACCATGTCCATCAGGTATCATTCTCTTTTTTCTTTTTGACTTCACGATAGGGGCAGAAGAGAAGTTCTTTCAGATGATCATTTAGGGAGGTTTTGGATAACAACAAATAATTTTTTGACTGCAGGAAATCCCGTATGGTATTGAGCATCGTTTGATGGACTGGAAAGAATTACGAGATGGTTCTCTGAGGATTGAGCAACATTTAATTACTCCTAAACTAAGTCAGCGGAAAATTCTTGTGGGCAAAAATGGGTCTAAAATAGGGTAATCTACTTCTTCCATTGCCTTTTTTTCTTCCAGCTCTTATATTTGGTGATTGTATTAGGAATAATATAGGGTTTTGTGTTGATGTAAGCATTATTGTCAGGGAAAATTTGCATCGGAATGATATGAGAATATGGCTCTCTTGCTTTTTATTTCTGAAAAATACATCTCAGAATACCCATTCACCAAGTTGAGCTGCTTCTTGTTGCTGATATTATTAATGCAGGAGAATAGGAGTTGAAGCTAATCAGGAGCTAAGATCCATCTTCAAGAGAGACGTGCATCTCATCCTCCAGGTTAGGCAAAAATGATGCAATGTGGACAGTTTGAAGTCTGAATGTCAAGCATTGTCACCTTCTTGTGCTCCTAAGCATCTGGGTATTTGTATATATGAAAGTCTTTCAGGTTCATACTTTTTCTTGCTTGTTAAATTAAACACTTAATGCCTAGTAGATCACACATGTGGTAGTGAATCACTGTATTTGGTCTGCTGAGCAAGCAAAGCTTAGGGAATCTAGTAAGAAGATCCCTTTTACGTTGAAAAGATTCTCATATGAACTTCGGAGTTTTAAGATACACGAAAAGCTGTAATATATAAATGTTGTTTATTATACATTTAATTTATTCAAGCAGTGTACTAATTCATAAATTGTCATATTGTTATTTATCACTCAGACTTTTAGTCCAAGGAGTGAACTAGACAGGAGTGTTATACTTGTTCTTGTTTTCTATTAACTATGTGTATAAATTCCAAGTAGAACTTTTTATTTACACTCATAGTATATAAATTTTAGAAAATAAAAACTAATGAGTTTTTTCAATTGGAATAATCTATCAATTTAATTACTAAACTATTAGCTATGTTTTTCCATATTTTATATTCTATTAAACTTAAAAATTATAGCAATTAGAATTAATTTTAATAAATTTAATGAAAACAATTGATTTATTTAATTATTTAAATCATAAGGATAATAATAATAATGATATTTAAACGTTTAAGGAAAAATCAAGAAAAATTATTTTTTGAAAATATTTTTCAAATAGAAATATTTATTTTTATTTAAATAATTTTATATGTCATTTGAAGACGGACAAATAATTTATGTTGTTTCCCAGAGGTTTAAAGTTATATTATAAGTTTATGAATCAAATTATAGTTTGAAAAATTAAAATTTAATTATAATAATACTTAATAACTGCTTTCGTAATTTATGATCTAAATTATTATATCCCAAAAGCAGCTGAAATTTTGGTGTATTCCAATGGCAGTCACGAGTGTTGTCTTCTACAGTCTCCATACACGAGTGTGCTGAAGACAACGAAAATAAAAAATAAAGAGTCAACCATATGGTTTGGTTCTACTTAATCTTACAGAAAAATCAATTTGTAACAAAAATGATTAAAAAGAATGCAATCGAAGTAATTATGGAGTTCTATATATCTGCGGTGCGAGTATGTATGTATATTATATATTTCTTCTAGGAGATGTATATATGTATATACTATTTAATACATGATAAAGGTGAATTTCTCTGCGTATCAGAAATTAACCGAGGCATATGTACATGTATGTATATATAGGTAAAATCACATGCATAAGTATAATATATATAATATGTATGTTGTATATGATGAAGGGGATGACTGTAGCCGATCAATACCAAAGGCAAACAAGGATAGAAAAATTTACCAGGTGTAGCAGTTAAAAAGGGTTGATCTGGAAAATGGTAGCATCTTTTTAATTATTACAACCACAAACAAGCCATTGGTAGCTCTTGATACTCCTACAACTAGGTCGAGTACGTCCTAGGACTACTAACCAGCAAAAGACTGAAATGGAAGTGTCAACTGATCTAAAAGAGCTGTGACTGGCGTAGCCAGTCTTGGTTCATATGCAAATCCATGCAGCTCACCTTCCTCCCCGTCACTGCCGCCATTGTTGTACGGACATGGAGGTATCCATTGCCATCTCTTCCTGCAAATATCAAATAGCAATCCTCTTTCTGATCCTCTTATCATTATCACTATCAACTCTCCATTTCCAACACAATCGAACCCGTTTCCTCTTTCTTCCTCTGCAAATGGTATGTAGAGTTGCTGTGGCATTCTTTCAATCTCTACCCATGTTGCTCCACAGGCTTGCAGACCCCATAGTCTAAGGCTTCTCGGCACATTCAGCTTACTCTTCTCAACTGCTGCAACCAGAATCAGCTTTCCCTTACTCTCCACCAAGCTTGGTGATCTCAAGAATCTTCTCATTGGGGCTTGAATCTTTAACCAGTTGTTTGCAGCCATGTCATAAGATAAGACACTGAAAGGGCTGTAGTTCATGCAGTAGAATTTCCCGTCCACGTAAACCATTCCACCTGATTCCAGACTGCAAAGCCTTGGCATGGAAGCAGTAGTACCCCAAAGCGAATAAAACCCGCCTGCATCAATATGAAAGCTCTCGGTTGATAGATTTTTAACTGCATACGGAGAGATCAAATCATCTCCTGCAACAGCTACATCAATTGAAGTAGGGGTAACGGTCAGGCCAACTGAAGGGAAGAGTCGTGGTCTTAACGTGGGTGGTAATTGGCTAACAGAACCAACAAGAGGATTGCATAAAATAAGACTCTTTGAACCGGCCTCCTCTGACACCCAACACACTAACCCACCAGAAGAAGAAGTTGGATAGAACCCAGATGGGACCAAGGAAAAGGAAAGGCGGTACCATGTGAGATCATAAGGATCGAGGAGGTAACCATGGCAGATGTTGGGTCTATTGTCATTGGCAGCTCGTGTGGTATTGTTCCTGTAGATGTAGCTCTTAAGGGTTTTGTGCTTGAAGAAGAGAAACCAACGACAATGTGGCGAAATTTGCATGTAAAGTTCAAGGAAGGTGTTGGAGAACAAGAGAGTATACCATCTCTTGCAAACACAACGTGCCCGGAAAAAGGCTGGTGGTGGAAGGAAAGCAATCACCCGATCTAGCAGCCTTTGTGGAAGTTTACTCCAAATCCTACTGTCCATCCAAGGACTATAAATGGCGTTACTGCTAGTGGTTGTAGCAATACTACTGCTACTGCTAGTGGTGAAGGTGTAGGAAAAGGGTAAAGGCAGAGATGTGTTGAACACATCCATATTTATAATTGACTATATATATATATGGGTTGTTTCTTGCTTCAATATTAGTCAGAGTTCAATCGGATTGCAGAAATTCCGCAACTATAAAGAAAATTAGGTCAAAGAAGGTGATGAACGATCGGGTTAGTCTTTTTCTAGGCACGCATGAAGAAAAAAGGAAAAACCTACTTTTGAAAGTGAAAACTTCACGGTTACATGATTGGTTTGGGAGCTATGTATTATGGGAACCTACTGTAGGTTGGTGAAACGGTAAAAATATTGGTGAAGTACTTGAGGGATGATTATGGGGCATGCAGTAGGGTTGAAGTATTGAGAAAGTACAGAAAGAACACAAATTCGTGAAAGAGAAGACATGCTTTTCTGGGGTTCTTCAAAAACCCACGAAGGGATTGTTGGATAGGTTGTTTATGTTGGAAAAGTCTCCCTTAGTAGGGTTTTTTATATATAAATTTATTGGATTGTTTGGTCACTTTCATTTTTTTTTTATTAGTTATAAATTAAAATTCAATGGTTGTTCAAGAATTGGCAGTGATTCTGATGGTTCATCTATCAATTCAGTGTTTTCTTGTCAAGGCCGAGGAAGGAAGGACGAGAGTTGCAGAATGAGACAAGTGCAGTGCAGAGAGAGAGAGAGAGAGAGAGAGAGATAGAGCACGAGCGTCCTTTTGCAGTCATTATTATCATTCACATTGATATACACATCACCCAGACTCCAATTTTAACAGACCAACTCTAACTCTCACACTCAACACCAACCCTAGTTGCAAAACTCAACCAATCCTTTTAGGAATGCAACAAATTCACAACCATTCATTTCCTTTTCAAAGTGATTTGAGGGCCTGTCATTCATCTATATATCGTTGATTGTGATCATGTCGTTTACAGCAAAAACAACAAATATATATATATATATATATACATTTTATACTATTTGAAAGCCGAGAGATTAATAAAAATTTCTCATCTCAGCAAACCCTCCAACTTCAGCGTAAAAGTCAACTTCACTTTTTTTTTTCTTTTCTCTTTTCTCTTTGCCAATGGTGCACGAACATATATATTCCTTTCTTTTTCTGGGTGCGCTGGAATGAACCATGGTTTCTCTGCCCTCTTAACAATCACATGCATGAATATGATTGAATTTTCTTATTTGTAAATGTAACATAAGTACTCTTAAGAATATATAATTAATACGATGATTTAGTCATTAAAATTTTTATACTTTGTTTAAATGTTATAAATTTGATTCTCACCGAAAATAGAGAACTCATTAGTTTGTTAGCACATTATAGGTTGATGATAATTAGTTTATAATGATTAATTCAATAGTATTTATAACTTACTTCATTAATGTAGTGATGGTATTGTAATAACTAAATTAAGTTTCATTTTATTGGGCTTAGATTCTCATATTTAGGTTAGCTACAATTGACAAAAAAACCTCAACCTAATATTTAATTTTTCTTTTTTTTAAAAAAAAAACTCTTAAAAGTATTGAAGAATTAAGAGAATTTATGGTTGTGATTGATTTACTTTATAATTTTTATTTACATGGTAAATCTTTAGTAAATAGATGACATATTGTTGTTTTTGAATGCCTCTTGATGCTTCATTTTATATTTTTTCAAGCCTTTTTAAAGAATACAGAAGGGTTAACATTTACATTTAAATTGAAGCTAAGATTGAATTTAGAACTAATTGCATCACCTAAGACCTCAAATATGAGATAGATTAGGCTTAAATTTTTCTTTTATATAGCTCAAATCCAACATGCTTATTTGATAATATCTTATACATGCACTATGTCTAACATCTAAGTGGGATACGTAATAGATTTTTTTTTTGTTTTTTCCTTTAAGTTAAAACTTTGGTAAACTAAGTTATTCGTGAGTACTAAATATGGTTTGTAGAAAAGCATAAAAGATTGCCTTAGGAGAAATCAAACTTTGGATGTTAACCACAAACTCCACTAACATAGTCATTGTAACTATTACCCCATCCTGCCACCACAACCATTATCACCATCACTTTTACTGTTGTTCTATATAACCATCATAGGTACCACCATTATTATTATTGATATCATTGACCTTCGTATTGTAATCACTAAAGTTACCACCATGATCACAATCTCTACGATGGTTATCACTACCACTTGTACTATCATCACAGTTGCCTTTATCACTGGTATCATTATTGCTCTATCACCACTATCTCAATTATTACACTATTGTCACTATTATTTTCCTGACTATCATTACAATGATTATCGTTGTCACCTTGTCATTATCGCAACCATTGTCATCGTTGTCCCCCATCTATATTGCCACAACCTTTATAACTACTACCATCATCATTATTAATATGAATTAAAAAGAAGATAATAAGGTCCTTTTGTGTTATATTACACATTTACTTAATCATTTCATACATATGTAAGGTAAAAATCTTACTCAGATAATTTTCTGTTTTTAGAAAATAAGAACATTTTATAGAGATGATAACACATATACATAATATATTACCTTACCAAGATAATACTTAGTACGAAAAAGGTGTGACCATTAAGCACACCAATGAAAAAACATAATAAAAAGAAAGAGCATGTAGGTCAAATAAAACAATAATGGTCCACAATAATATAATGTCCTCCCAGCACCTAAAAGCATAGCCTAGCTTGTTGGTGACCCCTTAGTACTAACAGAGTTGATGAAAAGAGTTGGCTTGATGTTGTGAAGCTTGCAAATACTGGTACTTAGGCCTATAGAAGTGGTTTGTCTTGAACACACTTTATAAATGCAAGCATTACTTCACAATGTGCTATGAATTTAAAAAGCTCCCAACTATACCCCTAGAGCACCATGAAGAAATTGGTCCTATTGAAAAACTCCTATAGCAATTGTGATATTTGTATTAATAGCGACAATGACATAAATGACTATAATGACAGTTGCCATATTTTGTTCAAGGGTAAACACAAAAGGAAAAAATTTTAAAGTAATTTTTTAAATTTTCAAGTACTACTCACTTTGATCATTTATATCTAATGAGGTAAATAACAATAATTTCAAAAAGATTTCTTACAAATATTGCTAAAGTAAGCCAAAAAGGCCTTACCATAACTTATATAGACTAGAGATCATAAGTTGGCAATTGTATTAATCCATGTAAACAAGTTCATTATCATTGGAGATGACAAAGCATAAATTTCACAAACTAGAGATAACTTATTAATACATTTCCCACTAAAAGCCTTAGAGTTAAAGCATTTTCTTTTGTCTTGAAGTTGAGCAAACCATGAAATGACTTAAGTCCACATGAATATGTTAGTTATCTCCTAGAAATGTATAAGATGCTTGAGTGCAAAAATATCTCAAGTCCAGTAGAGATTTATGAAAAGCTATACCCAACAAATGGAAGGAGTTGATATATGCTATAACTTATACACAACTCATCGAATGCTTAATTTATCTAACTTCAAGTAGGCTAAATATTTTATATGCTCTGCTCGTGGTGAGAAAATTTATGCAAAAACTAAAGAAATTTCTATTATGAGTTGTGAATGCTATATTTAATATACCACTAATTATGGCATATTATATAATAAATAAGGAAAAAGTGAGTTAGTTGGTGTTCTGGTGCCGAATGCCAATGATCATGATGCAAAATGCTCATAATAGGTTATATATTCATGCTTAGATCAATAATCCACATGGTTAAAACGACTCATGAAAGATCTTAATTAGTCAACTAACTATTTAGTACAATTATATTGCAAAGACAAATTAGCTACATGGTTAACAAAAAAATTCAATATTTTATGCAAGAAGTAAACACGTGTAAGTATATAATCATTTTATAAAAGAGAAACTATTACTTGGCAAAATTAAAAAGAAATATATCAAGACACAAGAGCAAGCAACAATACATTCACTAACAATCTCAATAATATAAAGATTGACAAATTCAGAAAGTAACATGGTAAAGTAAACAAGCAACTCATGAGAGAATGGTAAAGTAAATAAGCATCGGCTTTTTCTCTTATATATATAACCTTTCTCTTCTGCCCAATAATTTATTTTCTTTTATTTTCAATTGACTCTTTAAAATCAACAAAGTCTTTATATAAATATGGGAAGTCCCTTATGGTGTAAGTTATATGCTTAATTAAGATGTATATTTTTCCATGTGCTTTTAATAAATTATTATGTCTGTGTTATTGTAAATTATTTTCAAGTGATGCGAGCTGTTTTCTACACGTTATAATTGACTAAACAGTATGTAAATAAGTTTATTAATAAAATATATACATTTATTTTTTAAAAATAAAATAAAATTATATACATCTTACGATTAGAATTAATTTGAAGTTAAAATTTAGTTTAATGTGAATATGTACATGAAATTAATCTTTTTTCAGTGAAATATAATAGTCGGGTCCGGAATTTGGGCCCGGGATCAATTTTGACATTTATAAAATAATTATAATTATTTTTAAATTATTTTAATTTAATTTA